TATAGAGTTTACAAGAAAAGCCCTAAATGTTCATTGTCACCTCAGAGCTACAGAAAGAAAAACGAAAAATGAATTTAGGGCTTTTCTTGTAAACTCTATAACTTTGCAAAGAAAGGTCGTGTAGGGCTGGGAGACGCCTCGTTTTAATCAGAAATTTATGGACTACACTTACGCCTCACTAAGAAAGCTTTTGGTTGTCCTTTAGAGTTTCTCGAAAACTGGTTTTCCAGAAGACCGATCTTTGAAGGCTTAGCAGCAGCATTCATGGTGATATTCGAAATCAGCATCGTCGGCTACCTATAGTCCACTCGGTTTCGTTGAAAAAGCGATTTATCAGTTGGGCTACTTCCCTCGTAAGTACGGTCGAAATAAGATCAAATGTTTTAACCATTTTAATCAAGAATATTTCCATAATGTCACATCATCAAACTTTTTCTCTTCATAGGCACGGAGTCTGACTCAGAATCGGAAAATTTTCGAGAAAAGAATATACCTCACATTCGTCGTACAAAAGTGCAAACACAAGCAGATAATGAACACGATTACGCATCGATTGGCCGGCTGTCTTCAAAACATCTAACGCTGGAAAGCGCTTCTAGTCTGCTTGGTATTGATATTCCACCGGTGGTCAGCAAAAGTGTTCCAACGAACATGAGATTATATATGTCTGCTGATGATATATTAGCGCTAAAACAAAGAGATCCGAGATGTGTAAAACCGAATGCGACAACTATGTTAAATGAAAAGAAAAAGCGAGACTTTACTGTACCTGAAATTATTGTGAAATATGTTCGACAAGTGAATCCGTATTGTAGTCTAAATACGAAGAAAAACATATACTCAACGGCAACTATACGTAGTAAGGGCTGTTTACTCCGTAGTGAGCATGGCTATTGTGGAATGAAACTTCCAATACCGTGTCCTTTCACTTTTGAATGTACCATCAGTAATCAAGGAGTAATTGACGTCAAAACTAATGAGCATCTTAATCATTCAGGTGGTTTTCAAGCAAGACCCATCAGAAGCAAGCAAAAAATGATGCTAAAAGAAGAATTTCTGAAGGGTGCTAACAGAACATCTGTGTTTCACAACAAACTACTCGAGGTACCAGAGGAGGTGCTGAGAGCAAGAAATCTAGATAATGTTGGGAAAAGCGTACGCGTTTATCAAAAAATTCCAACAATTGACAAGAAAGCCGCATTATCTAACTGTATCACTCGTTTATCGGAATTGAAAGACCACTACCAGAAGAAACACATGCCACATGCTGCAGTGTCAGGAATTATTCAGGTAATGCTCTTCCTATTGTCAGCTACAACAGAATACTTTTTTGCTTTAATTGCGATAAAAAGATTAAAAACAGATCAAGATCACCGACCTTTTAAAATGAATCAGTTTTTCCGTATACAAAATCTGTATTAATCTGTAACCGAAAGAAATATACTTTAAAAGCGTCTATTGAAAGAACAAAAATATAATATAAAATTTCATTTACGCCACCATTCAACAACTAAATAAACTAGGTAGTTCTCGCTGATGAAATCTTTGATACCAACTGATCTTTCATGCATTGTTAAAGTATAGACCATATTTGACTTAACCACGCTAAATCTGATGGTTTGTGTTGGGAAAAGAATTCAAAACCTCAAAAATTGGGGTTTCGAGGCTGTTTTCACTTAATAGTTAAAAATTCACAACTCACTCGAAAAAAGCCAGGAAGAGTTGAAAACTCCATAATATAGATCGTTTTGCCCGTTTACCATTATCATACCATCCAGAAAGTTGAAAATCACGCTTTCGATCAGAAGTTTTCTGAAAAACCTTTCGGAAAACCATAGGATTTTGCAATTTTTTTGTAGATTTCTTATAAATAGGGTATAGAGTAGTCTAAATAGTTTATATCCTGAAGTTTTCAACTCGCTCTGATGTTTTTCGAGTGAGCTGTGAACTTTTTACTATTAGATGAAAAGAGCCTGGAAACCCCAATTGTCATAAAACTCGATTTTCACCGAGTTTTTGAATTATTTTTCCACTAAAAATATTGCCATCAGATCCAGCATGGTTTACTACGTATGTTCCATGCGATTCAAGACTACCTGAAGCAACAACGTACTCACGATTCCAGTAAGGGATGGGCAAACCCTATGTTGGCCAAAGAAAAAAGTTCTTATGTAGTATTTTTGTTTCTGATTCCAGTCAAAATATTTTTTTCTACTTTCAATTGAAGAAAACGGCATTTGTAAGAGGTGGGCCATGGTCACCCTTTCCCTAGTGATTGGTACTTCGCAGAGCTGAAGTCACCAGATATCAATCCTGGGGCTACAAGAAAATACGATACAATGCTCGAACCGCTGGAAATTGAGTTCTCTCTTGACTCTCGTTTTGAATAAGACGCTTTAGACTATCTATTCATGAAGAAAAACTTAGTGCCTGTATGCCTCAAGTCTCTTTTTTTTACGGTGAAAATACGAACTCTCTAGCTCTTTTCATTCTCGAGTTATTAAAAAAGCAGCCATCGGTTTTATACTTTGAAAAGGGGAATAGGTATCCTTTATTATTCAGTTATAGGCATCCTTTTGTATTTTATAAAATGTTAGTAAACTAACAGGCTATCCGCACTTCTTATATCTTTATTAGAAAATTGGATCTGATCCAGTTCATGTCATGTGTGCAAATTCAACGGCTGTGTACTGTGGGACATGTACGGTAGAGACGAAAAAAGCGAGTTTACATGGGATGCTACGGGTAATATTGTACAATGTGTGGATATGGGTAAGAGATTATTATATTACGAACTCACTATGGCAAATCCAATCAAACGAGCAGCAGCAATACCATTAACCTTTTTTTTAACTGAAGCTCATGACATTAGCACGATTAAGTACTGGCNTCGTCGATCTTTTTAAACTGGAAATAATTAACATCATATTCGTTTCCTTCAGTAATATTGTCATCCATTCCAACACCACGTTACATTATTAATGATAGATCACAGGTTCTGATACAAGCTGCACTCCAGTTTTTCAACGGAGAAACGTTCAAAATGTTTAATGAAAGATCATACCGAATTTTAACAGGTATTTTAGAATTATTGTTTACTTACATTGGAATTTTTTCCTTCCTCTTATTTCTAACTGCCGAAAAAAAGCTATCTCAATCGACATGCGTTTAAAAGAAACTTGACAAAATTCAAGTGTTTCGAAAACTAATAAAACCTGCTTACCAATGCGTATAGCAACACCAAATGCATGAAACCAGAAATATTTTAAGGATCTAAGCCTGCTAAAAATGTATTCTTCGTATTGCGTTACGGTATACAAAGAACTCGACAACTGACATTTTTTGTACAACAATTATCCATCCTATAAATTCAATGGTACTTTCAACGTAAACAGGACCCATATCGAGTCGAAATGGATTTGGCTGTAGTTTTTTTGTAGACGAGTTGAAGAAAAATGTTTTTTGCAAGTTACTTATAAGCATAAGGTAATGACTAATACAAAAATATCTCTACTCAGGTGTTCTCCGTTACCGAGATAGGGGACACTATTTACTAGAAAGTGACTCGTATTTATTGCTTCGAAGGCAAGATTGTTGACATTGATTACTTAGGCAGCTGTAACTTTATACTTAATTTCTCTGTCAGTTGTAATATTATAAAAACGTCTTCTATGGATAGAGAGAGCTCGCAAATTTCGGACTTTTTCCATTTTTAACCATGTCAGACTTCCGATTTTTTCGCGATTTCTACCAATGCAAACTAAGCTCGCACCTAGCAATATGGCTCTATACTGTACTCGAGCTACTTATGGTTAGTTTATTCATAACGGTATGATTATAAGTAGCAGGCAGAAAAAGTAATTACTTATGGTTAGTTTATTCATAACGGTATGATTATAAGTAGCAGGCAGAAAAAGTAATTACTTATGGTTATTTTACGAATAATGTTTCCGATCTCGGTAACGGAGAACACCTGAGTAGAGATATTTTTGTATTAGTCATCACCTTATGCTTATAAATAACTTATAAAAAACATTTTTCTTCAACTCGTTTGCAAAAAACTCTACCCAAATCTGTTTCGACTTCATATGCCTGAAACTTCTCTCAGATGTTATTTCATTGTCTATCTGATTACACTGTGTTAGATTCGTTCAAATCAAATAGATGAATTAATCAAAGAACTTGGTCAGAAATCATCAGATTTCTCTCACTTCAAAAGTATTATAAAATAAAAGCGCCTTGTTAGTGAATAACTACTTCGATGTTAGTATGCTGAGATCTTTTCCCTTCTGATGATAAAAAATATATGAAATGTTCGATCATACAATGCTCTCATATAGAAAAGGTCATAATACACAATGTTTCAATCAATACATCTAAACAAGATTTGGTATTTTCGCCTTAGGTTTTTCTACGAGCACAGATTTGACCAAAACGATCGTTCACGCTTGTACCAGCCATATGATGAAAGATTTCAAAATACTCTGCCGACAAAGCAAGTTGTCAGCTCGTAATGTTAACAGCATAATGTTTTATTGTTCGGTCCTCTTGAATTCCTACTTATACGAAGAGCGCAAAAAGAATTACCAAATGTTTTGTGCATTATTTTTGTTTGACGAAAATCAACCCGAATGGACTGCAGCAAAAGCTAATTTAAATGATCATGCTCGTAAACTGGGTGTTGTAATGGATGACAATATTACTGAAGGAAACGAATATGATGTTAATTATTTCCAGTTTAAAAAGATCGACGAATATGATATTGAAAACGTCGATCCAGAATTAGCTACAACCACTAGCGACAGTCCAGAAGAAGCGAACACTTGGTTGAGCGAAGAAAAATGATGAATGAGTTTTCATCAGCGATAAAGGCGGACATGAACAAAATATACGATACTGTCTCAAAACAAGCAAAATGTACAAAACAAACACATGCAGCAAGTATTACTGCGGGAAAAAATATAAAGAAAACAAAAAAGAAATTACAAAGATCTAGTGAAACAGATATTCTATCTCAGCAATTAAGCGCAAAAGAAACTTTTATAAGCAAATTTAACCAGTTATACATGGCCACTGTACATATATGGTCTAATGTTTTGCTCGGTATGCGTTAATTTTGATTTAACTTCTTCCGAAAAAACCTTACTTGTTGAGTGAAGGAAAGATTTGTGTGAGAGATTAGAGCAGATTGAAATAGTGCCTTCGTTTCTTTCCATCTTTCGTTTGTACGAAAGAAAGATAGAAAAGAAATGAAACAGCTATTAAGATTACGACTATTTCATCGATTATGAAGTACGACAGCATAAATAAAAAACATTTCCGTGAACACAACGATCGACGAGAGCTGCCTATGCTACAGAAAAAAATTTAGAAAGTAGACGGATAAACTATTTTTGAAGCTGTTACTCATAAAATGAGATTGCAAAATGGTGAAGAATCATAAGAGAAACCAGATGGCAATCACGCTAGCGAGAGTTGCGAATGCGGTGCGAAGCAGGAGGAAGAGAATGAAGGATACGGCAACAGAGAACTCAGTTGCTCTCTTGCAACTATGCTATAACCTTTATCATAACCTAGAGATTTTATCATACACACTACGTTAATTATTTATAACACAGTAAAGCGTCTAGTGGCTAGTCATTGCGTGACTCACTTCAGATTAATTATCCGTTTTTTTTTGGAGAAAACTACAAGTATCAAACATACAAAACACCTTCTTTCGAACCTTCTAGTTAATGACTGGATTAGCCACAAAGTCTCAAAAGGGGACATTTACTAATTCGATCTCACAGCTCGCTGCTCCTGTTTAAAATTTTACAGTAGCCGTTCTAGTTTACGAGAAAATCGTTACAGAAAATGACACTTTTTTTGTTTAGAAAGTAAAAACACAGTTGATCACTATAATGCGGTATGCTTCGCACCACATTAAAAAATGAAAAATTATTTCATTAACGTTAAATAACACAAAGGAAGCCTAACAAATCAAATCTTTCAAACTAAAAACATTTTCAGCTAATTTTTTGCAACCACGAAAGTATCTTGACCCAAGAATTGAACTATCGAAAAGGAATTAGCGTTTTGAACTGTCACTTAAGCGGACTCTTCTCTCTCTTTAAATTTCAGGCGATTTGAATCGATATCGCTTTCCTACTCCAACTGATAACATTGACACGATACAACGGATTACCGGTACATCAGAGAAACGAATGCAAGTGGTTAAGAATGTCGAGTTAAATAAAAACTTTATAAGCGATTGGATATAGCGGTGAATGAAATGTGCAAAAGCACCATTGCCATTCAGAAACAAGCTGGTATTCAAATTGTTCAAGCAATAAGTAAAGGTTCTGGAAAAACTCTGAATGATAGATGGCAAAAAAAGAAACACGGATATTTCCAGAAATGTACCACTAATGCTGAAAAAGTGTTAAAGTTAGAATTACCGGAAGTCCGTTCCTATTGTGATACATCCAAAATTATAGTTTGGGAAAATAATGGACAACATGCTCTAGAAAACTCGATTTTTCAAGCAGTTACCTATGTGGCAAAAGTTGAAAGAAACATAAGAAACAATTTGAGACCGCAAGATGAAAGTCTCGAATCGTTACGTGTCTTATTAATCGATGCTATGAAGTACAAAACGAAGATTAAAGAAGCAAATATTATGAATGTATTAAACGGATTAACAAGTGTTTTAATCGAAAACTATGAAAGAAATTTGTCCATACAAATGGTATCTTTCTTAAAAAAATGTATTTATCCTATAATCAACACAAGTTGCAGTGTAGACGTTGTAATTCAAACACCGTGTCAAGGTTGCGGTCTTTCCATACAAACATTAATTTCCCACGAAATGTTCGTCATTCAATCGGAGAACGTTTCCGGTACCACAGAATTGATGGAACAACTGCTCTTTTCAACAAATCTTATGCAACCCTGTCCTAATTGTACCGAACATGAACTTGCTCGACCAGTTGAATTTACAATAGTAATTTGTCCAGAATTACTATTCATGTACAAATATCACACGGAAAATAAAAAAAATCTCTCTTACATGGAATTCGTAACATTAGAAGAATATTTGGATAAAGAAGTATTATGTGTAAAGTATTATGCCACTTATCGTATCGTATCAGGTTTGCATTCAATTTCATATCACAGTTTACCTTCTATCTATTTCATCATCAGCTTTTATAAACTTCAAAACTTTCAGACTCGAATGCAATTTCTCTTCAAAATTTCAGAATTTTGGGAGTATTTTAAAAAGTCCGTAATATTTTTCATGACTATAGCGTTTGGTTTTTTTACACTATTTTACTGAGTAGTTTTGAACATCATAAGCGCAAGGAACTGTTGTATAATGCATTAGATTCAAAAGCTTATCACAGTGCAGTTGACCTGCTGACCTGTTTCTGATTAAATGATTCCCTAATCACAGCAATAACTAGAGAAATCTACAACTATACACAACTTCTATGCTGCTAAACACCAGAAGGGCTTTTGTCTTATAGACCCTTATTATCTTTTATATTATTTTATAATGTTTTTACAATTGTAGGTGTATATGAGAAAAGCGACGGTACATATTCTTCATTTGCCATTCGCCATTTTCTCACTCATCATGGTAATTCCAACTTTGGTGAATGTTGTAGATTATGACACAAACGAGAAATGTGAAAAGTGAAATGATAGAAGATATTGCTGGAAGAATACATCGTGAACTGGCCTACTTTCGAATGTATGGTCCTTATGTTTCTGAATCAATCTTAGGAAAATTAAAAAAACAAATTTCACTTTTGCACAAAAATGGCAAACTAATCCTGATAAGGTAAATAATTAGTTATCTATCAGTCTTACACAAGAAATACACCGAACGATTTGATAAACATATAACTAAAAAAAATAAAGTGATGGGAAAACTTTAAGATCACTTGTACTTTTTCGTTTTCTATTTCGAATGACCGCCCAGTTCTTTTTCTTATCATTCAATAGTGGCTCTTGGGAACCATGTATCGATACCAAACAGTATTCAATAGTTTCCAAAACAATGACGGATATCTGACCAACCTGTGATCTGCAAATTACGGAACAAGTATTGAATGAAAGAACGCTTTTTTTGCTACGACCATTGTTTCTGAGCCGATTTTTCCGGGACAAGGAGCAACACTTTTCTGCCGTATGCCAGTTTCATACTTAAAATCTCTAAAACATGCTATCTTGTAGTGAAAAAAGCGTTCGTTTATTCAATACTTGTTCCGTAATTTGCAGATCACAGGTTGGTCAGATATCCGTCATTGTTTTGGAAACTATTGA